CGCTACCGCGTGCCCCCAACTGTTAGTAGTGCTAGAATCATTTGATACTGAAAAGAGAATGAGCACAACATAAATGCCGATAAAGACATAAGAGTACGACATTAAAGGAAAGAGACCTATGAAATGAGGAGAACAGGATAAGTACTTCAGCCAGGTACTAGAAGCTGTGAGGCGGTCAGCAAAGTACGGCAAGAGATGAGAGAGAAAGCGTCTCGAAATATAGAAGAGACTGGAAACCCATATAAAAAGGGAAATGATTGTAGACGAAGAAGTCAAATTCTGAGATACTAATGATAATTGTGTTTACGATTATGGGTATGATTACGGTTGCTATTATGGTGACAACGAAAATAATAATGGTAATGATGATGATGATATTGTCACGTGTTGGGTTTATGTCACGCGACAAACAACTTCAGGCCGTTCTGGATCTAGCGAATTTATTGTCCATTCCCTCTTACATTTACACAATTTACAATCACACAACAACTTATCCTGTTGGAGTCACTGCCATTCACTTCGGCGAATGCTAGACTACAACTGGCTCAATACTCACTGCCAGGACCCTGATTTTGATGACCTGAAAATATTAAAAAAAGGCCTATAAAATGACAAAAAAATCCAGAAAAAATGACCTAAAGGAGAAAAGAGAGAAAACATTGCTTCTGTGTTTTTCACATTTCAGAAAACTTATGAAGAAAATTTCCTAAAATGGCCAAGAATGACAAGAAATACCCTTGAAAGTTCAAAAATTTACCAAAAAATTACCCCGAAATGAAAAAATGACATTAAACTAAAAAATGGCAAAAAATGACAAAAAAAAATACCAATAAAATTTACATTTCTGTAACTGAGATTTATATATTTAAGAGCATCGCATAGGATACCATGAAAAAAGATGACATGTCATCAAAATCCGGGCCCTGCTCAGTACTAATCACTCACTCACTCTGTGGTAATTGTTATTTATTTCTTGAACAGTCTTCACTTACATAACAAAATGTACCTTGCATAATACAGATAACAAAATACTTTTTGTAGCATATCTAATACTTATTCTCCAGCACCCAGCACTGAAAACTTATTACACACATCAAGTCCAGAATTCGAATCACTGTCTTCAGGTCCAGAACTGCTCTCTTTATCTTTTTCATAAGCTTCATTACCATCTGCTTCTGGTGCTTTTCTACTATTCTCTTCCTCCTCATCTTCTGATGGAGTAAAATCACTACCTTCATCACCTGCTGCTTGTTCACTTGTTTTGGCTTGGATCCATTGAACAAGTTGAACATCAGCATGCTTCTCCCAGTAATGTCTTTTACTAGAATAGCCAGGAGGATGGAGACATAAGCAGATCTTTCCATCTAATGCCATGCGTAACAGGCTATTGGCAGCACGATATGAATCAAGACGACCTGCTCGAGCTGTATAGAAACCACTCTTAAAAGCCCAGCCATCACAGATATCCATGGCAGACCACTGTTCGTCGTGTTCAGGATGTTGCAGCTTCAACAAATTAGGCAGGTCTAGTCTTTCAGCCAAATACTGAACTGCAGAAAAGGGTACTCTCAGTTGTGCAATTGGGAAACTTCCCATAAGAATCTGTAATGTCTTTGGGACTTTGGAAGGAAACACAAGACCTGGACAGTCACACAGCCTTACATTAGGAGTTAGGTAGATGGTCTGGAAATGTTTCGTGTGCCCTGGGGTGTTAGAAACACTCACAACCTTCTTTCCCATAATTGCATTTATAAGGGAAGACTTCCCCACATTTGGGTACCCAATGCAGCCTATTGTTAAGGTTCCAGCTTTATATTTTTCATGCTCAAAATGCCCTGTGTCCACTTTCTTCATTTCAGCAGTCTCACCCACTTCAATATCTTCGTCATCAAATTCCAGTTCCATTTCTTCAGATATTTTTTTATGCCAAGAACTCAAATCAACTTTATTATTGGTGATACACTTGCAAGCCTCAAGTAGTGTCTTTGCTCCTTCAGCTGCCATTCGAAGCTTCCCTCGTCTATGACGAATTTGTAAGCCAGCCTTGTTCTCTTGATCGCCTCTCAGGTTGTGAGCAGGGAATGAAGTGAAAGTGAGAATATGAATAGCAGGGTACTTCTGTTGGAAGTAGTGCTTCCACGCAACAACCAGTGGAGCTGGTGCTAAGTCAATTTTATTTAAAACCAGAATCATATCCTTATGCAGAGTCTCTGTCACATAGTTGTACACTGATGGAGGAAACATGAGTGCACAGTAACGTATGTCAACAATGATGAATACAATATCAGACATCTCGAGAACCCTCCACAACTGCCTCCAAGTTTCCAGATTCAACTCAAAATAACTAAGCTCTTTCCAGCTGAATTTCTTCTCTAATTCTGAGATATATTCTGTAAAGTATTTGTGTTCACTAGCTTCTAGCTGTTCTAGACTCATATCAAAATTCCATAGTGGTCGCTTGGGGAAACCAAGTTCTTTCAAGAAAAAATCTTCAACAGCTATCTCCAGTCCAGAAGCAGGCACAGGATTAATGGCTTTATAAGCTGCTTCCTTCTGTTTGAGTATTTCTGCTTCAGTCTCACGATGGAAACCTATCGCATACCGGTTAGTATTTGCTCGACAACCTCGTATCTTTGATTGCTCATTCAACTTTTGAACTTCTCTGCTTTGACTGCACTCTGCTTTCGCCTTAACTTGGAAGGATGTCACTCCATTTTCACCAGATCCTTCTAGCGGTTTCTTTTGCTGTTTCTTGGATTGAAGCTGTGCCTTTTTTGCCTTCGCACTGAAAGGAACTTTCCTTCGGCCTTGTGGCATTTTTATTATGTCAATTCTCTGGAGCTCTCTTCAAATCTCTTCACACTATCACGATTCACTCGTTACAAGTTAACTCGGTGATTACCTACAAATAAACTGTCTTCGGCGGCTGCTGCAGCTCGAATGACTCCTTAGGCTGTGCAGAGCGTGCAGAGTTCTCTTATAAACCGTGGCACGTCACTGAGGATGACGTGGCGCCCACCGAGTGCTGCAAACTGTTGGAAGGAGTGGGGGTATGGGACGTCACTCGCGAGAGCGCAGCGTTAACGCGGCCCCTACTTCCCGTTGCGCCATCGACGTCACAATATGTTAGTAAGCGATGACACATTGTCTTCCTTTTCGTTGAGTAAGCGTAGGTTTATTCTCATCTGTCTCTTGTTTCCTCACCTCATAATATCTCTGCGGATAAAAGACAACCTTTGAACATGTGGTTGGAAGATTTGATGTGATAATCTGTGATAGTGCGCGATAACGGAGAAGTAAGTCAGTGAAGAATTATTGTGTGAATTAAAGACTGTGTGTGCTGTAGTACAGTTATATTGGGAGTGTGTAATTAAGAGAGACTTGTATAGCTCCCGCGTTATAAATACGCGAAGACTACTGAAGAGATTATTGTGAGTACGGTTTGTAAAGTGTGTCAACCCGCGGCCTTGTCATAATGAATCGTCGTTACGATTTGTAGGTTGTTAAATAAACCAATTAACAATCGGAACGGTGTCTTCAGTAGAAAAACACGTTACAATATATTCAATCACGAGCATTTTACAGGCTCTGTATTCCCAACTATCAGCAATCGCAATTGATTCTACCGATCTCTAGTGTATGCTTTTTTAACTGTCACCAGTCGGAATTGTTGTTAAGTAGTCTCTCGCAGTTTCTGGCGTGCCCTTTGTGAACTATTTTGTGTGTGTATCCATGGTTTGCATGGGTTAAGCACGGCAGTTGTGAAGTCATCTTGTGCAGTTTTGGGCCCCGAACTCCAAAGGTTAGGGTAAATTTGTTTCCCAATAACGTTTACCGTTTATAACCACCTACTAGATATAACACTGGGTGATAACTGGTAAACAAGAAAACCAAAATATGTACCATTGATTTATGTCAGTGGCCAGTGTGGCCAGTAATGGCTACAGTCCGTTGTATCAATGTACAATTGCCATAATGAACTGTTTGTTTTTGATAATTTCGATAGTGCTGTTGAGTGCAGCCATTCTAAGTAGTTGGAGCCATGGCCGCTTGATCGCGGCACCTCTTGGGTCTCTCGGGTTATGGCATAGTGGTGCCTGTGCTCGCCAGGGAGCAGCAGGGCGGTTGCTAGAAAGCGTGGGGACGCGTTGTGTTGGCGTCGCAAAGGAAGCACGCAAGTGGAAACCGGTTGCTGTACATTAAGTTAAATTAAGAGGTGTTTAAATACAGTCCGTGATTTTAGGAGCTACCAGAGAGATGTTGCTCAGCGCACGACATTTTTTGGTCCTCCGGGCCGGATATCGGTAAACCTGCAACTAAACTAAACGATTGTGGAAGCGTGGCAATGTGCATTGTGCTCGTTATCCAACGAAAGAAGGGGCCGCCGTGACGCACTGCCAACAGCCGTGACTGGTAAGTACAGTCTGGTTCAAAATCACAAACCGTCCTTCGTATTTCCTGGGCTAACATGGACAACAGTCAGAAACGTGCCTTGATCAAGAAACGAGCAGTCATCAAATCACGCGTGACTCGCCTAATCTCCTTTGTAATTGCGTGGGAAGTCTGTGGCAATCTGACCGAAATGAAGGTTATTATTATTATTATTATTATTATTATTATTGGAGGGGGTGGGTTTCCCCATGCACCGCGACCAATGGTCTATTGTACGTCCCCCTGTGATATTCTACCAGTCTCTATACCCTACCGATACTGGCGCGTGCCATCAGTCCCGACTCAGCCAGCGAGTTCGGCCTCTACTGGCTCAGCGGTATCTAGATGCTTGAAGTGTTGAGGCCAGAAGAGCAATCTAGGCTGGGCCACCCAACACTCCAGAATACTCAATTTGGTTGGGTCTTGGCAGGATGTATACCTGCACATTCCGTGGGACAACGGAAGATGGCAACAACCTCATTGTTAACCACAACTCATGACTTGCATGCACAAGTGGAACGATTCTGGCTGCAAGAAGAATTGACGACACCCCACCAGTCCAAGGAAGAGAGCATGTGTGAAGAACATTTCACAAACTCTGTTACCCATGATGATGCAGGCGGATTCAGAGTGAGGCTACCCTTACGGCAAGACGTTGGAGAACTTGGGGACTCCCTTGCCACTGCTAGCCAGAACTTTGGGTACATGGAAAGGCGATTACTGAGAAACCCAGATTTGAAGAATGAGTATATCAAGTTTATGGATAAGTACCTGCGACTGGGGCACATGGAACTCATCGACCCTAATGACCAGTGTCGGTCTTGCTATTACGTGCCTCCTCATGCGGTAGTAAGGAATACAAGCAGCACTACCAAGGTTAGAGTTGTCTTCAATGTGTCAGCAAAAACCACCTAGTCACTCTTGCTGAATGATTTGATGATGGTAGGACCAACCATCCAGCAGGATCTGTTCTCCATAGTACTACGCTTTCGCACACAAAGGTACGCATTGACTGCAGACGTGGAGAAAATGTACTGACAGATTCAAGTGCATGAGGACGACTGAGACCTCCAGAGAATCGTGTGGCGAAGTCATACCAGTCAACGGTTGGAAACCTACCGTCTGACCACCGTAACTTACGGAACTGCTGCAGCTCCTTTTCTGGCAACACAATGCTTATTACAGGTGGCGCTTGACGGTCAAACTACGCAACCGACTGCAGCTGAAGTAATTAAGAATGACTTCTATGTTGACGGCCTCCTCACAGGAACGGACACTGTTAGTTAAGCTGTCCAGCTCCATGATGACGTCACATCATTGCTCAAGAGTGGAGGGTTCCCCGTTCGGAAGTGGCGATCCAACAGTCTAGACATTTTGGAGGCCATTCCAGCCGCACCACAGGGACCTTGCAATCTTCGTCTTGACGAGGGTGCAGTGAAGACTCTTGGACTGCACTGGTATCC